GTTCCGTTCTTTATGAATCAATTTTGTAGGGTGTGAAGTTTACGGACTACGGCTGTTTGAAAGGTTTTCTTCCATAAAATTAATCGATTCTAGACTAATTCGACTTAATATTTCCAAAATACGTATATTTTTTTGGGGAATAATCCGTATAAACTATGCTATAAACAAAAAATTGTAGGATTACTTACCAAGTTGCACCGTTGCTTAAGCTTGTTTTCGTCGCGAAGCAGCGCACCAAACGGCGGCCGCGATTTCTGATAAGTTATTTTTCTGCGAAAACTTCGTTGAACTTTGGAGACATCATTAATATAAATAATTTTAATGGCCGTTGAATAAGAAATGTTTCTTTCACAAGAAATGTATAAAATTAGTGCTGTATTAGACTTACGGTACCTAATTTACATACTGTACAGACGATAGTAAATTCAACTTACTCGCCTAAACTCTCCGTAGCGTGGCGCTGGACGGCAGAAAGTAGTTCGGCTGCCCGATGACGTTTTACCGAATTATAGGAGTTTTATTTTACCATGTTTGTACGGATACTGTCGCAATTTTTTCGCCGTCATATAGGAAACCGAACTATAGGAACCCGTGTTATAGGGGGGTCTACTGTATTTATGTTTAAGAAACGCATAACAAAGTATAAAATTTTGCTTGGCGTCATCTATATTGAGCTTTTATTAAAAAAAACTTTCATGTTTTTAAGCAGAAAATAAAATTGTGTGTTGTACCATATGTTATGAAATTTTGTTTAACAAAATCTCATAACAGATGGTACAACACACTTTTTATATTACTAATTACAGTAGAGCATCGTTTATCAAAATCAGTTGGGGACTGGGATTGTTTGGATAGCCAATTATGTATGAAAACACCTATTTATGTTGAAATTTTTCTCCATTGTGTGTCGCTTTGCATCGCATTTTCTTTGATGTTAAGCCTATATATTGAAAAATATAAAACAAAAAAAAGTTATATTTCAGAAGTTAATCTAGTATCAAAAACGTTTTGATTCAGCATGACACACATCCTGACACAGTCTCAGACCACACAAAACAAGCAAAACACTTTCTTTTTCTTGGGTTTATATGGAGATGTCAGCTGCTTGGGCTATATTCTCCAATGAGCTGAAGCAAAACACACCACTCACGATGCAAGGTCCTAGAATATAGCTCACGATGGGGGGAAAAACCTTGTTCAAATACTGGCACATCCTTAAGTACCCTCTTGACTTGTATGAATTGGAACATTTTTGATACTAGATTAACTTCTGAAATATGATTTTTTTTTGTTTTTATATTTTTCAATATGTTTATTTTGTTTCTGCAGAATAAAGAAATAATTTTTAATGATACAATATAGTCGTGCCAGTTTAGCTGCATCATGCCAGCTAAAACATGTACACCAACAAAAATAATATTGGAGTAGCTCAAGACAGCCAAATATTGCAGTGCCACAGCACTAACATAAATTTAAATTTGCCGACTGGAACGCTGTTGGTTAACTGACATTTCAGTTGATTGGCTTTCGGATAAATGATGCTCTACTGTATTATAAAATGTTGAAAAGCTTAATTTTGAGGGTAGTGGTGAGTTTTATAAAAAAAAATTGTAAATGCTATTAACAAGTAAAATCTTCATTAAGTCCAACCCCCAGACACCCCAAGATATGACACATGATCCCCTTCTATCTCTCTACCCCTTTGATAGCATCAATGTCCCTTATATACACACACACAGAATTTTTCCTATTTTTTTTAACTTTTTTGTACTGTTAAGTTCAATTGTAACATGTGTAAGGTGTGTGGATGTCAGCAAGTGTTGATGGACAGTCCACAGCTTTGTCACACGTGTCAGGTGGGTGAGGTAATAGTATCCCTAAGAATGTGGGGGAGATTGTCCCGCCTAGAGAGGGAGAAATTGTGAGAGAGGGAAAATTTGTGGGCTTCCCTTCGTTGTGTGTGTGGAGGCAGTACTGATGGTGTGCTGACTGCAGTATTGACCAGGGAGCTAAGCAGAGTGTGTGGCTGGTCAGGAACCAGTATTGCAATGATAAAATAATTGAAATAATTGTCGGGTGCCGGAGTGTTGCTCGATTGTGGAGTGCCAGAGAGTCACTCGCTGATTTGGAGACATTAAAGTGTAATTGTGTTGTTATTGTTAAAAAGAAAGTGTGTACTGTGTTCTTTTAGACCGTGTAAACAGGAACATTTTACACCACCATCATAACATCATCCTTTTTACACAACATGTACATTTGTCTCAAAATGTGGAGATTTGCAAACAACCCACAGGGTCAAATTTGACATGACTTTAATACTGGTTCTTTTTCTGTCATATGGATTTTATTGTAGTTAATTATTTGGGCAGACTTTATCTTCAAATAATTAACTACAATAATATCCATATGATAAAAAAAACCAGAATTAAAATTGTAAAGTATCATCACCAGAGGGAAGGCTTTCTAATCTATATTTTCCAGCGCTTATATCTTTGTGGATAAAAGCCAAAACATCCTCAAGGAAGTATGGATAGAAGATTTCCATATGTCACCAGTTCCTTTTTCAGAAAATCTTTGTAGTTTTAATTGGATATATTTTTTGTTTGTTTTTAAAGGACTTTTTAGTATTTTGGTGGCTAGTAGCCTAAAAACAAAGGTCGGTTACTGAGATTGTACAGTTTGGAACATGAAATTAATAAATGGTGGTCCCTGTTTGGGTGGACTTTATCTTCAAATAATTAATTAATGATTCCAATACTTTCCCTTGTTATGTTTACATAACAGCCAAGAAAGTAAAAGTTTATGAATGGTGTTCCATGGCTCAAAAATGTTGAGAACCACTGTTTTAGTCTATTTATTTTATTTTAAAGAATTGTAAATTTAACCTGAGCACTTTTTATAGAACTAGCTATTACCCGCGACTTCGCCCGCGGAAGTTTTGCAAGCAAACCCTATTTATATTCAGTATTTCAATAACCATAGTAATTGTTATATAACACCTACCACTGAGAATGACGAGAATTGCCAAGAATCAAATGAAATGTTTTCAATTTGATGAATTTTCTGGAACATTTACAATCGTTCTATAATCGAACCAATATGCAATAACAAATTCAAATTTAAAATGTTTCGAACATTTGGTTAAAAAATCAAAATATATAAAAATATTTATAATAATGTCTGAAATGAAATGCTTCCCCCCCCACTGGGGAATTCCGACAAATCCCTTCTTAGTGTGCATTCCCATGGCGTACCCTACTAAAACGCAGTTAGAAACAAAAAATCGCATCTAAAGTATTACAGTAGAAGCTGTTCTTCCAGTTAAGCCTTAATCCTCTCCCTCACCCCTCCGCCTAGGAATTTTGAAAAATTCCTTCTTAGTGCGCGATTTCATGACGTACCCTAACTGTGTACCAAATTTCACCTCTTTAGGTTCAGCGGTTTGCTCTGGGTGATGATGAATCAGTGAGTCAGTCAGGACAAGCAATTTTATATATATAGATATAGATAATTTATTCTTTTCTTAATTCAAAATTTAGTTTTCTAAATATACTAAAAAATTATGATTGTTTTAAAACTAAATAATGTTTTGTAGATCTAAAAAATTAATTCAAAATTTACTTTTAACTTTATTTGAAAGTATATAACAGAATATAAGAAAATACAATCAATATATGATTTAATTAATAGTGCTGTGCAGTTTTATTTGAGACTTGGTTGTGATTCTCGTCCATCTTCTCCAGAAGAACAACCAGTATTATTTCAATACAGCAATAATGGTGGAGTAACATGGGACTTATTAGAAGAATTTGGATTTGGTGAAGAAACTCATAGTCCTTTTCCAGCATACATTGCAATAGAGCTTCCTCAAAGAGCAAGAACTAATTCAACTCAACTTCGATGGTGGCAACCATCATCAAGTGGTATCTTTCAGGAAGAATGGGCTATTGATCATGTAAGATTAATATAGTGAAATGCTGTTATAACGAAATTGAGGGGACTATCAAAATATTTTTGTTATATTGAAATATTGTCAAAAATGCAAGGATAAAAGAAATTTAATAATGATAATAAAAAATCACTTACATTTTGAAATAAGAAACTTTTTAAAAATGCAACTTATCTATTAGTATTTATATGGAACCAAATTTCTCGTTTTCAGAATGTAAGTTATATTAAATTAGAATAAAAATTAATAAAAAAATATCATAAGCAAACAACTAAAATAATAATATACAAGGTGCGTCTGAAAAGTTCGGTGAATGGTCTCATAGTTGAATAACCGTGCTGGTTAGAATGTTGCACTCACGCAGACGTAGTGAGAGACTTGCCAACTAGTGACCCCTAGCATTGGAATCACGACAGTTAAACGAAAGTACATGCAACAAACAATGCAACACAGTCAGTATGAGAAGGAGTGTCACTGTGAAATGGAGCAACGCATGAACATCAAGTTTTGCTTCAAATTAGGCAAAACGGTGACGGAGACACATGAAATGTTAGTGAAAGTGTATGGTATGGAAGCAGTGAGTAAAAAGTGTGTTTTTGATTGGTTTAAATGCTCTGGTCGACCATCAACAAGCACAACTCCAGACAACATCAAACGATTGCGACGGATGTTTGCGGATGATCGGCGCCCGTCTTTGAGAACGATAGCAGAAGATTTGAAGATAAGCAAGAACAGTGTGAGCCCTTGACAGGCACTGATCATCCGCAAGCATCCATCGCAATCGTTTGATGTTGTCTGGAGTTGTGCTTGTTGATGGTCGACCAGAGCATTTAAACCAATCAAAAACACACTTTTTACTCACTGCTTCCATACCATACACTTTCACTAACATTTCATGTGTCTCCGTCACCGTTTTGCCTAATTTGAAGCAAAACTTGATGTTCATGCGTTGCTCCATTTCACAGTGACACTCCTTTTCATACTGACTGTGTTGCATTGTTTGTTGCATGCACTTTCGTTTAACTGTCGTGATTCCAATGCTAGGGGTCACTAGTTGGCAAGTCTCTCACTACATCTGCGTGAGTGCAACATTCTAACCAGCACAGTTATTCAACTATGGGACCATTCACCGAAGTTTTCAGATGCACTTGTAGTAGTAGTACCAATTAGTTGGAATCCTGCCTCTCTAATTATTATTTCTGTTTGAAGCCATTATTTTCTGGTAAAAGAAGTCTAATTTTTGTGTGTTGTTTCTTTAATCAAAGTTTTTTTGATAAAATCCAGTAATGTGACTCATTCTAGTAGACCATCAGGCATGTCTTTTTGTTTAATTCCTTTTTCCACATTGTCTAATATTTTATTGTTCTCTTTCAAAGAAAACTGCTTTTGTTTTTCTTTATTTTTTTCTTAAAAAGAAATAAACTGTAGAGTAATAGTATCAAAACAAAACCATAACTAAGGATTAAAATTAGTGTTGCTAGTTGAACTAGACATTAAAATTAATGTTGCCTGACTGTTTGACATAATATTCATCATTTACTAATAACGAATGATTTATGCATTTATAGATTTCATTATAATGAAACTATTCTTTTGTAATGGACAGAATTTTTATTACATTAAACTGAAATTTTTGTTATAATGGTATTAATTAAACTGAACCATTTTTGCATTGAGCTGAATAGGAAATTGGTGAGGATTCAAGATATATTCGTTATACTGAAAATTTTATTAAACTGGCATTCGTTATACCAACATTTCACTGAATCATAATATTTTCTGATTTTTATTATCATGTGTAATACTAATGTTAACAGAATATTATTCATTTAAATGTAACAGATTTTTATTGGTGGTGACATTAATGGTTTGTTAGCATTAAATGATGATTTTACAACATCTCATGAAGCCAATTGGGTACTTACACCAGGTTCAGTTATGGAGCCAGTTTGTGGTGGAAGACATAATTTTCTTCATTTTCGAGGTTTTATTTTATTTTTTTTAATTTTATGACTTTAATTAATCAAAATGATATTATATGAAATACATAAAACAATACACATAATTAAATTATTTTATCTTATTTCCATTACAGATTCTGATGATACAAGATATGCTGTTACAACAGATGTAATTGTATCTGAAACAACATACATTCAATTTCAGATTGCAATGGGTTGTAAAGAATCACCACTTTGTTATGGTATGATATATATCAATGAAATTTAAATTATTTTTAAAAATACGGATATTTTTTATTGTAGTTGTGAAAATTTATATTATATAATTTAAAAATTTAATTTAGCAAATTTCATTTTATCTGTGTAAATAGTTTTGTTGACACAAATTAATTATTTTTCTCTGTTGACAATGTTTTCTAATTCAGTTCATTTTCATTTGACCTTTTCTCTTTATGTGGATAAATACTTAGCTATGACTTTATAAGAGATTTATCACTAGATTTCTTTTAAAACTTAAAACTCAAATTTATTTATTTTATAACTTTGAGATTTATTTTCTAAATTTCTGTTCAAATACAATATTAAACACACCAATAAACCAAAAATCTAACACTTTAAACTTATATTTATTGTAAAAGTGAATGTTTTCAGTCATCTTAAACAGCTATCTTCAATCATGGAATGTGCTATCAAATGGAATGTTTAAATTTTTATACAATATTCAATTAAGCAGCAAGTTTTTAAAAAATTTAAACATTCCATTCAATAGCATGTTCTGTGATTGAATATATTATATGATCTGAAAATGATTGTTTAAGATGACCAGAAACATTCGTTTTTACATTAAAATATAAGTGTAAACTGCTGGATTTATGTTTAATGGTGTGTTTAATAGAAACATCCAGTTCTATGAGCTAGTAAAACTGATACAATATTTTATTTACATAAACAAACCCATTTTTCTAAATGAATGAATGAGAGGAGAAGGATCTGTGTGCATATTGCAAATGGTCCTTCTCTGATTTTTATGCAAAAATTGTTTGTGGATACCCAAAATTACCACCGGAGGGTTCAAAACAGTTAAATATTGTGACTATGAGATATGGTAGTTATTGTGGAAAATTTTTATAATGGTTTTACTGTAAAAGCAGGGAATCCTAAAATAAAAAGTCAGCATTTGATCATTTTTAACTTTGTGCAAATTTTTTAATAATTTAATGTCATTTTAATCAAGATTTGGTTGTATCTTCTGTCTTCAACCTTCGTAAATAGGTACTGGTATAATATACACCTGAGACTTTTTTGTATTCCCAAAATTAAATTCAAATTTTATGGGAAATCCATCTCCCATCTACAATAGTAGTGGTCAAAGCATCAGCAATTCTGAAGAATATTTCAAAGGATAAGCTATTATTTGTATTCAAAGAATTGTCAGAAATGATAGCAGAAGTGCATTAAATTCCATAGGAAAATAAAAATCACAGTTACTATTCCTCAGAGTGATTAATATAAGAAAAAAATTAGTCTCAATTTGTTTTGACTGGTCTCATATGTGAATTGTTAATTATAGTGAATTTTTAATTATTTTTAAAAATACGGATATTTTTTATTGTAGTTGTGAAAATTTATATTATATAATTTAAAAATTTAATTTAGCAAATTTCATTTTATCTGTGTAAATAGTTTTGTTGACACAAATTAATTATTTTTCTCTGTTGACAATGTTTTCTAATTCAGTTCATTTTCATTTGACCTTTTCTCTTTATGTGGATAAATACTTAGCTATGACTTTATAAGAGATTTATCACTAGATTTCTTTTAAAACTTAAAACTCAAATTTATTTATTTTATAACTTTGAGATTTATTTTCTAAATTTCTGTTCAAATACAATATTAAACACACCAATAAACCAAAAATCTAACACTTTAAACTTATATTTATTGTAAAAGTGAATGTTTTCAGTCATCTTAAACAGCTATCTTCAATCATGGAATGTGCTATCAAATGGAATGTTTAAATTTTTATACAATATTCAATTAAGCAGCAAGTTTTTAAAAAATTTAAACATTCCATTCAATAGCATGTTCTGTGATTGAATATATTATATGATCTGAAAATGATTGTTTAAGATGACCAGAAACATTCGTTTTTACATTAAAATATAAGTGTAAACTGCTGGATTTATGTTTAATGGTGTGTTTAATAGAAACATCCAGTTCTATGAGCTAGTAAAACTGATACAATATTTTATTTACATAAACAAACCCATTTTTCTAAATGAATGAATGAGAGGAGAAGGATCTGTGTGCATATTGCAAATGGTCCTTCTCTGATTTTTATGCAAAAATTGTTTGTGGATACCCAAAATTACCACCGGAGGGTTCAAAACAGTTAAATATTGTGACTATGAGATATGGTAGTTATTGTGGAAAATTTTTATAATGGTTTTACTGTAAAAGCAGGGAATCCTAAAATAAAAAGTCAGCATTTGATCATTTTTAACTTTGTGCAAATTTTTTAATAATTTAATGTCATTTTAATCAAGATTTGGTTGTATCTTCTGTCTTCAACCTTCGTAAATAGGTACTGGTATAATATACACCTGAGACTTTTTTGTATTCCCAAAATTAAATTCAAATTTTATGGGAAATCCATCTCCCATCTACAATAGTAGTGGTCAAAGCATCAGCAATTCTGAAGAATATTTCAAAGGATAAGCTATTATTTGTATTCAAAGAATTGTCAGAAATGATAGCAGAAGTGCATTAAATTCCATAGGAAAATAAAAATCACAGTTACTATTCCTCAGAGTGATTAATATAAGAAAAAAATTAGTCTCAATTTGTTTTGACTGGTCTCATATGTGAATTGTTAATTATAGTGAATTTTTAATTATTTTTATATAAACTTTATTTTATTTTAATTTTATACTGAAAATTTCCATGAATAATTATTGGATTAAAACATCATATTTTTTCAAACTATCTCCAAATTACAGAAATTTCACTTGAATATAGTACTGATATGGGGAAGACATGGTCTTTGGCACGAAAACATTGTCTTCCTTCTGACGTTGATTGCATGGAATATTTTGAACCAAGTATTTATTTTTCTGATGTGTGTACTACAATTACTCGAATTACTCTTCCTTTACCATCATATACAAGGTAAGTTTATTTATTTTAATTTTTTAATAAATAATTGCAATTAAGATTAATTTTCAACCTAATACATAATAATTCAGTCAAAATACAAGAAACCGAAAATTATTAAATTTTACAAAATTAAGATATTAAAGCAACTGAAACTTACAAGGTTACAACATTTTGAACAATTAAACTGAAAATAATGTTAATGCCAATAATAAAATTATTTTCTGTTTAATTTTTTCTGAATTTATTTTATCATCATTACTGGCACAATAAAATAAAAATGTTAAATCAGATTCATTTACTTTCACACTTAATTTACATACTTGGGACAGTTCACAAACACTTGCAATCAAATTACCAGTGAGCACAGGAATGGATTTTCAGTAGCCACTTCCTTCTCACCATATCTTACAAATGAAGTATTGATATCTTCAAACATATGTTAGTGAAGACAATATGCAAGAGCATGTTTGTGTATATATGCCACTGTACTAAGCTATTGTCTTTGCTAATGCCTGACCAGATTAAAATTTATTTAATATTTTAAATTTTATACAAATGTTAATTTAATTAATGTAAAATGGATATTTCCATTACAGAGTTTTAAAAATAAATTTAATAATTGTTAAATTTACTTCAAAAATTATCGTAATTATTAATAGTTAGCAAAACTATAGTTTAAATAATCTAGAAATGAATATGATTATTATAGAATATTTGGGCTTGATTGGGCTGCATTTTAAAAAATTGTAGACCTATAAATTTCCACTTCATACATCCATCTGTCCATCTTTCCTTAATTTCAACAATGGAGTTAGATAGATGAAAGACAAGATTAGATATGGAAACGTGGGCAGGAGCTCCCAATTAACTATATACCAACTTCTGATGCAAACCAGAAGTCATATTATTTCAGTTCAAAAATTTTCCCCTGAAAGATGTTAGATAGATGACCAGCATGACTTTATTGTTAAAGGAAAAAAATGATGTACAGAGGCAAGTCACTACTAATTTATGGTGGAGAGAATATATTTTAAATTAAATAAATTAAAAATATGATTAAAAATTGCAGCCCAGCATTGTGATGATGTTACAATAAATAATTGCTCGTTGTTTATATATATCTACAATGATTTGTTAACAAAAAATGAAACAGAAAAAGTAATATTTTAATGCTTGAGATGGCAACTTCTAATTGCCTACCAATAATTTTCTTGCTTTCAATGATTTCCCCAGAGGTTCAGGATATTGTAGAGATCCCCTGTAGGATGAGGCCTGCAGGGCTAAACAAAAATTAATGGACAAGTCGGCTTGACAGATATACTAGCTTTTAATTAATTAATTCCAGTTTGGCGCGATTGCGATATATACATAGAACACGAAATTGACGATTTTTACAATATTCACATAGTAGAATAAAATGCTGCACACATTTAGGCACTTCCCTCTTTTCTCCTCTCCTTTAAGGGGGCTCACGACACGTTATAACAGGGGAACAAGGAAAGGCATGTAACAAAGAAAATATTACAAAACTACTCTGTTTGGATGAATCCTCCGCTGATCTTCTTTCTCTTAAATACGTTGTAACTCTATGTAAAACTATCATTAGTTGGATGTTAACGGATTGCCGTATCTCCGGCTTTATTTCCATTTTCGACCCTCTCACACTCAGCATCTTGATCTCCTATATTCACGTATGGCCAAAACACTGCGAATTGGGAACAAGAAAAATAACAAAAGGTCCTACTACACATGGGTCCTGACCTTTTATAACCTACTAAGTGGATATCCTCCTCACGTGACTTCTACTGGCCAATCTGGCTGCCGACATGAGGTGAATTGGGAAAAGGTGGCACTACGAACAAAAACGAAGGGGTCGAGGGAAAAACCAAAACAAACAAAAAAATAGTCGCAAAGCACTACAGTATACAATGGGGTAATTTATATAAGGATTTTTGTATTGGAATATATGCCATCATAGGTTATCTGCTTGAAATTACAGTACTAAAATCTTGAAATTAAACTTCATATCTCAAGTGGATGTGTGCATTACATATGTAATTCAGTGTAATTCATTAATGAATTCTGTTTAAATAGAAGATATGAAAATGCTTTTATATGCAATCTTTAACTTCTATGATTAGCTGTAATGTCAACAATAAAAAGCTGTAACTTTTGAACTATATATACAAGATAGAAAGATATGAGATAGAAATATACAAGAAAAATCTTGTTTGTTTACATGGATTGCATTTGGCCATTAATTCATTCATCTAACTTTTTGTCTACTTTTTTAAATAGTTTAAAAATTGTGATTTTTTTGACATGCTATTAGGAAATATTACAGCAAATAAGGAAAATAAGTTTTCAATGATAATATGAAAGAAATTTTCACAATATTTTTCCTCTTATAAGTAAAAATGGAATGAAATTTGATTTTACAAGAGAGCTTTAATTATCCAAAATAATCAAGGTAGGATAATTTTGGGTAACCAACATATTGCACATCACTCTATACACAAGATATGTTAATGATACATTGATTATCTGGAAGAAAACACCTAGCATAGATAATTTCTTGTCTGGTGTCAATAACAATCTCTTGGACCTCAAACTGAAACTTGAACAGGAGAGCCCATTACTACAGTTTCTGAAAGTGATTGAAAATATTTGTTTTTTCCAATAAATGTACCTGCTGGAATGTACTCACAGACACCTTCCAATATGGAAGGTGTCTGTGAGTGATTACATCAGCCAATTTTTGACTTAAAGCTTATGCTTATACTCAGAGGAGACCAAATTGATAGCAGCATATATCTTAAACCAGGGTATCAACTCTTTTTTTATTATCACTCACTCAAATGACTCTTTAGCTATAAGCTAGCAGTGTTCAGGGCATTAGTAAAGCTCTGACATCTTAAACATATTAGCTTAAATGACTAGAGCAGATAGCAGTGAAAGATGGATACCCAAGAAAGGTAATAAAACAAATGACATAAAAAACATATATAAAATGCAAAATAGAGAACAAAAAGATACTTGGCATATATTTTGCAGTGTAGTAGTTGAATACAATAAAACACTATGAAAATTTGTAATCACATGAATATAATTATTGACTATCAACACAGATTGTCCATCTATTAATGCAATATTCTGCAAAACAATAAAGATAATACCTTCTGTGATCAAAACCTATCGAGAATGGTTCAATATGTGGGATCTGTGAATATCCGTGGGATTAATATTCACAGGGGTGAATGAATTTGGTTACCATAAAAGGAGGAGGCAAGCAAGATACATGATTAAAACTATCTTTATGTACAAAAGTTATATACAAGATCACAGTGTGGCCGACGGCCACACTGTGATCTTGTATATTTGTAAGTTTATTTTTGTAAGTCTTAGCCTTTTCTTTGTTTCTTTGTTCTTTTGTTTCCTTAAACTTTCCAAAGACCGTTATCGCCTAAGAGTAGGATTAGCTGTTCTAAGAATCAGGGGAAGACAATAGAAAGAAGATGACCTGGGAAATAGCGGCCATGAGAGAGGGACTTGTTTTTGACGAGACATGAGGGAAGTCGGACGTGTCATGAAGAGCTCTGAAGAAAACTTGAGTAGAGAGGTTCTTGAAGACAGAGGTCACGATAAAAGAATCAGGTTCTACCCAAGGTGTTGATCAACCTGACATATAGAAATCCCGGGTGAATCATCTCATTTTCTCATTCTTTCCTATTATTCTATCTTCACCATTATTTCATTAGTATTAAGTAAAATTTAAGTTAGAGTTAAGTTAGACTTAGTTACACGCTTGTCCGAAATTTATTGTTACGCGATCGGGACAGATGTGTCATCATGCTTTGTTTGGAACAAAGAGTCCTTCGTGAAAATCATGCCCGATTGTAAATCATCATTAAATCAGTTGGGATTCTTTTTATATTTTGTTCAAAGTGAAATAAAGGAACAGGACTGTGAATATACAATTGTCGTAGAGCCTTTTCTTTGTACCTTTTCATTTGCGGATCATACAGTGTCAATTCAAATATCTATTATATTGAAATTAAACTATCTATTTTCAAAAGTAAATATAAAGTTTATTGTTTTTTTTTCCTCTGTGCAGTTTGTTTTTGTAATATTAATTGTTTATAAGTTTTAAGTATTTTAATGATAATTTCTAATTTATTTGAATTTTATGATGGGCTATGAATAATTTTAAATATAATTTTATAATTTTGAATTAGAACTGTATTCAAACCTTATTTGTACATTTAAACTGTAGTTTTGATGATTGTTCTAATACAATGGTTTATCTGAAGCAGGCTATCAAAAGTGCTTGAAATGTTTGTAGATTCAAGTAAACAGTTACAGGGACAATATTAGGTGTTGAAATTGAAATTATCATGTTACAACCATCATTTATAGTAAAATTGGTTAAAGTCTGTAGTAAATGGTTATTGGCTATAATACAATTTATTAAATATGTAATAACTTAACTTAGCCATGATTTTCTTAAAATCAGTATCTTAAAAATATAAGGTGCATGCATTACATGAGGGTACAGATTATTTGAGTAAATACAGTATATTTTTTGGCACTTAAAATTTGAGTTAATACTAAATGTTGTAAGTATTTATTTCAGAACACACAATACTCGATTTCGTTGGATTCAGCATCAAGGTTTCAAAAGTTCTCAAACATGGGCTGTTGGACATGTTTATATAGGTGATGAATGTTCTTACATGTGTTCAGGACATGGAAGATGTAGCATGGGTGGTTGTTCGTAAGTATATTTTAAAAATTATATTAATACTTTTGACTTCTGATCTTTTCAAAAATAAATTATACAATGTTAAATTATTATTAATGAATATACAGTATAATCAACTTTAAATAGATTTTACTTTCATTATTTTTGATTTTTTTCCTAAAGTTGAGTTAATTATAAACATAAATTTTGAATTTTACTGTAGAATTTTTAAAAATTTTTGTAGGATAAAATATTTTTAAGGCATTTTTCAAAAAACACAAATAAATCTGGACATGAGGGTATTTGAATTAAAATACAATTTATTAGTTTTAATTATTTTTATTATTGATGTGCATAGTTTAATATAAAATATATATAGCTATATATTAGGGGCAGTCAAATGAAAATGAGACAAACTATATAACAAGTGTGGCACTAAGTTGGTAATTCAGGTAGGTGTGTATATAGAAGTGCCCTCTATTGGGAATCAGGAAGGCACAGTGTGAACGTTCACCACTGTGCCATTTGTCTGTGCTCGAAGTGAGGTTGATGAGTCGTGTGCGTCCAACATCACTATGTAGGTCTGCTGTTTGTTGACTTTCTGGAATACAGCTCCACAATTAACGCACAGTGATACATAGAAACTTTGCAAAAATTGAAGCGTGCCATCAAATTCAAACACCCAGGAATGTTGACAGACAGCATCATTCTGTTGAGGATAATGCCTATCCACATGTTACCAAGGTTGTTTTGACTACGCTGCAGAAGTTCCCAGGAAACTTCTGCAGCATAGTCCATACACATCCTCCATACAGTCCCGATTTCTCCCCATGCGATTACCATATTTTTGGAGCCTCAAAGAAAGACATTCGTGGCTGTCAATTTGCTTCGGACGAAAAGGTGCACACCTGGGTACAATCATGGTTCCGTAGGCAACCGCAAACATTTTTCTATGAAGGCATTGACTATCTTGTCTCACAGTGGGATAAATGTATTAACAATGATGACAATTACTTTTGAAATAATAAACAGTTTACTTACTCTTTTCTCATCTGTCTCATTTTCATTTGACTGCTCCTAATATATTGTCATATATATGATTATTCAAATAATAACGATTAATTTAGAAAATATAATAAGACAAAAAGCAATGTTGAAATACTAAATTGGATTGATTGCTTAATATAGAATATGGATATATATTAGACAAAATATACATGTGTTCAATAATTTTTTTTTTGCCATTTGACAGGCATTTGTATCTTTCACTTATGAATTTAGAAGGATTCTTCTCAGTTTTTTTTTTCCATTTATCTTATAATTACGAGGCCTGTCCGGAAAGTAAGTACCGTTTCATTCTACCGCCATTGCAGTGGTAGTATCGCAGTTCAGTGCCTGCGCACACGTCTCTCTGGTTGATTGTCAGTCCAGTGACGCCATTACAGCCGGATTGTGTTGTTTTTCCACGTGTTAGTGAGCGTTCAAAATGTTTAAGACTATTGTCGATCCCGCCAACTGTGAAGTGCATTCTATAATATGGTTTTTGAACACAAAGAATGTTAAGCCAGTTGAAATTCATCGTCAACTTGTAGAGATTTATGGTGAAAATGTAATGAGTGATGGAATGGTTAGAAAGTGGGTTCAACAATTCAATGCTGAATGCACTGATGTTCTTCACGAAGCATGGAGTGGCTGGCCTTCTGTTGTCAATGATGGTTTGGTTGCAAAAGTGAATGAAAAAATTCCTGAAAACAGACGGTTCACAATAAGATTGGTTTGTGATGAGTTTCCACAAATTTCAAATACTGTTTTGCATGAGATTGTTGCAACAACTGATGTTCAG